TATATATATATATATATATATATATATACACACACATGCTTGTATATTTAAGAAAAGAATATTATTTATATATAAAATATTTATATTTATATATAATAAAAATTGTATAAAAATCTATATGCAGTATATACATGAAAATATTTCTTAAATATATAGAAGCGTGTGTGTATTTATACATATATATATATATATATATATAAATATAAAATAATTATACACAGTGCACCCACATATTATGTAAACACAAACTTTTAATTTGGATGCGATTAATCGTTTGACAGCCCTAATTTAAATGTATATTATTTACAGATCTTTAACATATACTGTATATATTTCTATATACATACATATTTACGTTTATACTAATATAAATATATTTTTTATTTGCTCGTTTACATTTTTTATTCATTCAGTTACCTTGTATAATTAACAATTATATAGTTGTAGTATTTATGTAAAAAAAGTGTGTATGATATAAATGTTATCACCTTGTATAATAATATTATTTTTTATAGTTAGGGATGTTTACAGACAGAGCGCCTTCCTTTCATTTATTTAGAAGTTTGCATTTCTATTGTAAAACATTTATTTTTATACATTATATTTATTATACGCCTTCAATTGTTGTGTTTGTGTGTATATATCAATATCTCATTTGTGGTATTGTATTTATTAAATTTGAATATTTACATACAAAAATATATATATAAATTCACCCTATATAATATCTAAGAAGTATTTTAGAATTAATAATAATAATAATTCCTTTTTAAGTATCCAAAAGTATGCACCGTGATTATGGATGAACTTGATCTGATCTAATGCATCACTTTCCTTCTGTCTTTTAGGTGTATAAGGGAGACGAGACGTCCTTCCAGCTCTTCGGCCTACAGTGGAACACAGACTACCGGGTGCGTGTGTTTGCATGCAGGCGCTGCGCAGACACCCATCAGGAGCTGTTCGGGTCCCTCAGCCCGTCTGCTCACTTCAACCTGCGGCGGGCTGACGCCACACTGGCTGTGGAAGCGGACGTCACCAGGGTGCCCATGGGAAAAACCTTCACAGATGAACAGTTCGCCGGCCTCATAGTATTTGGGGTGGCCACTCTCTCGGTCTTAATGGCCTTCTTGCTTCAGCTTCTGATTTAGACTTGAGTCGTGCAAATACACTTTTTACAGTTTTAAGAACGACCACCTGAGCAGATTTCACATTATTTTTTATTACAGGTTTTTTTTAACAGTTTTTCTATAAGGTGAGTTACAGCTTTAAGAAATCAGTAATGATGAAATGTACTGTTTGGCGTCTGTGCCTGTTTTTTTGTTTTAGTTTAAGATGCTGTAGCATATTTTATACATTTTATATTTAGTATTTAGGAGATTTTTAACACTAAAGTAAAAAGTGGCCTTTCCGATCTCAAGTTATGCAAGAATGGAGTTTGAGGATGTTTTTTTTTAATGGTCAGTTTTGATTAACTTTGATTTAATGTCTAGACAGATAAACAGCACCAATATTCTTTCTCTTATCTGTGCCCCTGGAAAGTCTGTCTAAAAGCTTCTTAAAAGCTTTATTACTGACGATTGTCTTAAAAAAAGAGAGAGAGGTGTCCTTGGGCCGTCTGTACTACAAAACACCAGCAACTGTCAGTCCAAAGAGAGTCAAATGACAGTCTTTGCAATCAATCAATGTACAGTGTTGTGAAGTCTGGAGTGTTTGTACCTCAGGGACTTAATGTGATGTGAACCTGTGCCTTTAAATCCACAATTCCAATCTTTCATGACAAATCATTTCAGATCTGCTGCTTACAGTATTCCATTAACCCTTTACCCTGGTCACATACAGTACATGATCATGTTTACTAGCTCAATCAGCCCTTAACCAAAGTTAGTGAGCAAAAAAGGTATACACAAACAGTTTGGTTGGATTTATTTATGCTATATACTTTTACTTTATAATGCAAATCACAGTGCAATCTTCATTTATTTATTACAAGAATCAGAAATGTCATATTCAATATTTTCCTCATGTAGCATGTCTTTTTTTATGACAAATCTTTATTATTATTTTTTTCCAAATATACCGCAGCATTTTAACAGCATTAACCTGTCTTATTTCAGATATATTTGTATTGTTTGTTATTCTGTTTTTTGCTTTGGTTCTGAAAAGGTTGATATCTGATCGACCTTGTGATTTCATCTGCACAACTGCCAAATCTTGGCCTTTTTATTTTTACTTATTTTAACGACTCCTCATCGTATAAATGTATTGAACTTTTTTTTAGACTAACATTCCATTGTTTTCTGATTTTAAAAAAGGTGAAATGACTTGACACTAGAAAACTTGAAGTGGAAACGCTTGAAGAACACTTTTTTTAAGAACTATAGACCCAGAATCTTTTTAAGTGGAAAACAAATACTTTTTTCTTTAATTTTTTTTTTTAGTTGGATATCAGGTAATAAGTGGCCTAGACATAGTTTTCCATGCTTGCATATTGTTTCATGAAAATCATTCCATATTACCATTTTTTTGTAAGCATAACGGTCATAATTATTGATGTAAATTATAATCATAGACATATTTTAAAAAATGGGAAAAAAGAAAAAAAAAGTACCGTATCAATTTAAATGTATAGATATTGAAAATTACTACCCTTTGTATTTAAGATGATTATCTATCTGTAGCATATATGTAATATATTTATACACAATAAATTTTTTAAAATTTCTGAAACAATTTGATGTGTTTGCATTTCATTATGACCACCAATTATATTAGGTTTTATATTTTAATAATTTTTTTATTTCATTATTATTTACATTTTATCTTTACAGAAGGACACAAACATTTTCAGTGGATTTTATGTGCTGGGGAGGAAAAGCACAGGACAAACTGTGTAGTCGATAACACAAAATCCATTTTAATAAAAAATAAAAATAAAAATACTGCATGACATAAAAACCTTTATGTATATTACACAAAAACACCAGCCAGAAAATGCATCACAGTGTGAATTTAGGCATATAGACAACATATCAAATATCTTTCATAAGTATTTTCATTAACAAAAACATGTCTCAACTTGAAGATTCTTGTGTTTTACAGGAATCTCAAGAAAGTTTTACATTAATTAGAATGTCATTGGCAATAAGTAACATATACTGAATTCAAACACAAAGCTTACAAAACATTGTTCACAAACCTGCAATAAGTGCACTTTTTATGGCTGCTATGCATTTATGTAGTATGGTCCAATGGCATAAGCTTGGTGATGGGCTTTAAATGGCATGGGATGTTATCAGTCAGCACCATTGTATCTCTCCCACATAGGGTACAATGTTCGAGTGCTTACATCTACAGTGCTCTGTCATCCAGTACTTCACACAGTCAGTTTAAGGCATTTTGGGTAGTGTGCATATGTACAGTTTGCATGAATACCAGAGTAAAGGGAATCGTCACTCTGCTGGTGTCTGCTGATGATGGAAATACATGTGCATAAACATTATCATAAAATGCACTAATATTTGGTGTTTGTGTTAAAAATGCAAGCATCAATAAAAAAAATACAAAAACAAATTGTATGCTTGTAATTATTTAAAAACAAAAAAAATCAGTCAGCATTAGAATAGATTAAAAACGAAAATTCTGTCATTAATTACTCACCCTCATGTCTTTCCAAACACAAGACTTTCATTCGTCTTCGCAACTCAAAAGAAGTTTCTTTATTGACAGCTGCACAACTGAAACTTTTAACTCTTCAAAACATTCATAAAGAGATCCATATGAATTGAGCGTTTAAAAAAAAAAATTCTGAAGATACACATATGATGAACAGATTGAGGCTTTTATTCACATCTAAACATTCATCAACTCACACATCAGTTGTAGTAAATGAGGTTCATTCTTGTGTTACGCAGCACGTTTGAGCTTCTGCAAGAACCAATGAGGTTCATTCTTCCAAAAGGTTTGTTCTCATGCTTCAAGCAGGTTTGGTTGAGTTTGTTTATGTTCGCTGATCAATGTTTTTATGTGTATTAAAGCCTGAATTAAATATGTTCATTATATGAAGCGATTGAGTCTCTTCAGAAAATTATGGACTAAACCGTTCAATTCATATGGATTAGTTCTACAATCTCTTTACGGACTTTGATTCAAGTGTCAAATGTGGTAGTAGCATAGGCTGTCAATGGAGGGACAGAAAGAGCTCAGATTTCATAAAAAAGTTGTTCATTGTGTTCCAAGATGAACGAAAGTCTTAAAGTGGAACGACATGAGGGCGAGTAGGCTAATTAAGGACAGAATTTTCATTTTTTGGTGAACAATCCCTTTAATATAGGTGATCAGGGTTCAGCAGTTCGATTATTTTTCACTACTATATACAGGTTAAATTGAAAATATGCGATGGCTTTTATAATTACTTAAAGATGATTGAAATTAAATTCATAATCCCAAAATCAGCAAAATGAGGTTAATGTTGACTGTCCTTTCTTATTCAATGTGTTTACAGTCTGTTGTGTTGAAAAGTGCACGTTTCAAAACGACTTTTCCTGTCACGTGCTCCAGCTGTATTCATTACACACCGAAAAACTCTCGTTCACGATGCTCTGCACTGATCGTCCGGGAGCGCGCCTCACTCCGAACAGTTTGCAAGCTGCGCTCCTGTACTTCTTCGACATGATGTTGTAGAGGATTGGGTTGATCGCAGCGCTGAGATAAAACAGCACAAATGAGACAAGGTTGCAGTATTCACTGATTTGGGAGATGATGGGAGAATTTGCCTCAGATGACTTGGAGAAGAGATAACGACCCACGTGGAACGGCAGCCAGCAGAGAACAAATGCAAGAACCACCACAGCTGATAAAGGGAGAGAGAGAATTTAATGGTTTTTATATTGCATTATAAAAATAAGAAATACATTTACGATATTCAATTAGTGTTTAAACATGCTTGGTAATTATTTCGAGTCGGAAATTAAGATTGAGTCGGTTGAGTCGAATCACTAACCAATCCGAAATGACCTGTTCGCTTAAAGAACCGACTCAAGAAAATTCGAACTCGAGCATTCGTTCGGGTTTCGAACTACACTGGTCGCTGTATGTTTTTGATTCACTCAAAGAAAATCGAATCTGAGTGATTCGCGGGATTTAGAACCGGACAAAGAGTCATTTGTTCAGGAATCTTCTTATAGTCACTGAATGTGTTCTTCATTAAAATATTTTGATTCCTAAATAAATTATAATAATAAACAAGTTCAAGGTTTTAAATAGAGGCTAAAGTAAATGGTCCATAAAGTGATGATATAGAAAATCCTAGTAATTGTGTATGGCAGAAAAGAAAGAATTTTAGACGATTTAAATGGGGGATTTAGGGACAGATAGTCCCCTTGTCTGATTAGGAGACGTTTTTTTTTTTTTTTTTTTTTTTTTTTTTTTTTTTTGCTGCGTAGCCTACCTTTACTACCATTTTCGTGCACAAAATGATCAAAACCTTTATTCTGATTCTGATGAATAATTCATGTAAACTGTAATGTCAAAAACGTACAATCAATGTACATTATAACAATACTCTTATATTTATATATATTTTTATATAGCCTAGAACACTTTATTTGGTTTAAAAAAATCAATGTAAAATCACCTCTCGTGGTTATTGCTTTATGCATTGCATTTAATTAACGTCTGTTCTGTTAGATATAAATAAATAGCCTATTTATTTAATTAAACGATTGTTATTTCTGAATGAAACCCACGCAACACAAAGCCTAATATAATGGATGATTTTCAAACATAACATAATATAATTCTACACAAAGTGTTTATCAGACTTTTCAGGTAATCGTTGAGCTCACCTAGCATTTTGACCGTTTGTTTATTGTTCTTATCTCGACTAGAAATGGGCCCGACTGGATTCTCCTTTCTTCTCCACAGCCTTCTGCCTATGAGGCTGTATAACACGGTCAAACAGAGGACCGGGAGGAAGAAAAACACACTGGAGACCCAAACCATCATAGTAAGCAGTCCGGACCGGATGGCATATTCGGTCGCTTTACACTCGTTGGTTTCCCAGGAGTTGGTGCCGTTCTCGTGCTCGACCCCAACCAGAATGAATATAGGTCCCGCGCTGCACAGAGCCACAGTCCAGAGGAGTAAAATCACCACTTTTACCCGACCCCGCGTGACGATGACTTTTGCCCTGAAGGGAAAGCAGATAGCGAAGTATCTTTCCACGCTCAGCGCGGTGATGTTGAGGATGGTGGAGTATGTGCAGCTTTCACTCACAAACTGAAAGAGTTTGCACAGCTCGTCGCCAAAGTTCCACGGTCGATACCGCCAGACCCGGTACAGGTCGAGGGGCATGCAGAGGAAAATGAGCAGGTCTGAAAGTGCCATACTGCAGAGGTAAAGGTTAGTGGTGGTTCGCATGTCTTTGTATTTAGTGACCACCGAAATGGTCAACAGGTTCCCAGCAATTCCGACGAGGAACAGGAAAGAGCACGTCACTGTAATGCCAGTCAGTATTGGGGCTGGGAAGAGATGGACCGGGTACTCCAAGTCCTCAGCAGTTGCATTATTTTCCATAATGTCCTCAGCGCATAAAGTGATGCTGAACGGGCAGCTGGACACGTTTGTCCAATTAGTCATTATGATTCGATTTCAGAGGATTTGCATGGGCTTAATGCCACCTCATGATTTCCACCCAGCTGTTGTTTCCATGCACATCTTACAGGTGTTCAGTGCACAGCATGAGAAGTGCACGCGAGTAACCTGTCAATGATGCGCCCCGAGCCGCGCGCAGGGGGTAGCCTACACGGTCCACTCCACGCACGCGCACATGATGGCTTGACTAATTGAACTGTGAAAGGCAAATTTGTGCATTTGTTCATTAGCTACGTATTTTGTGCGTTTGCAACTTTCCTTAGCGTTTTTAGTATTTCTAAGATACGAATTACATTTATAGAGCGATTGAAAGCTGGATTGCACGGCGATGCGATGGGTTAGGCTAATAGTTGTATATTTTATGCCACCTGGTGGTGTGAATAGACCATCAAAAGAATATGTATGTAACAGAAAAATAAATCGTCGTGACACGTGCTTTGCTTTTATAAATAGTATGTGAAGCCGCGCCTGCTGCTGCTGTCCAGGGTGCTGAAAGCTGTTTGTCTCAATCTCAAATAGCCTAATTCTGCGAGTCATAATAATAAACCTTCTTGTAATGACTTAGTTTCTCAAAATAATGAGAAATTCTCTCTTAATGATGACGAAGGCTGTTTCCGAAATCACCCTATATACCCTTAAATAGGGCACTATTTGAGTGGACAGCCATTTGGTGTAACTACAGAAACTACAGTGGACGTTATCATTTATTCAATCCCACAATGCACCTCTGCGATAACGAGTGTACAATCCATTAGTGGAATAACTGAAATGGTGAATGAGGTTATATGGGGCGATTTCGGACACAGCCTTAGTTTCTCTTTAATATGAGAAGTAAGTAATTATTACAAGAAAGTTTTTCGTTATTATGAGAAATTAAGTAATAATAATTATGAGTAAATTTCTCATTATTAATATTTTAGCCCCAAGTGTGGCATAAAACGGTCTTCCAGATTTCACAAAGGCTTTATTTTGCTTTTCAGATGGTCTGCTTTTCTAAAATGTTAAAATATATGCATTTAAAAAAATAAATAAATCTGAAACCACTTGCATGTTTAAATGTGTGTTTAAAGGGTGTTAAT